AATGAAGAATTCTCTGTAGCGGCTCGTGAGCATAGCTACTATAAAGGTATGATTTAGGATTGGTGATAAGAATTACAGGCCATTCTTCAAATTTCAGGTCAGCAAAACTGAAGAGATCATGATCAAAAGCAAGAATCCGATACCTGATATTCAACAATTAAAATAATATTTTAATTAACAAGGAACATCTTAAAGAATAGAAGATATTTATTTATTTATTTTATTAATTGTATGTGCCACCCATCTTCCTAATAAGGTGATTCTGGGCCACTTACAGATCACAAAAAGATAAATAGAAAAGCAGTTTAAATTTTCAAATTATGCAAAAAACAAAACAAAACCCAGGAACCAAGAGACAGATGGTACAGGGATAAGTTTATCTTACCCTGTCAGCCATCTCCAGTGGTGAGCAGTCCCTTCTTGGCCCCAAACTAGCTAGCAAAGTCATGTTTTAACACCCTTCTGGAAGGCCAAAAGGGTGGGAAAGTTCTTCCTTCTGGTGGTACAGAATGGACCACAGCAAAAAAGGCTCTTGTCTTTGACCTTCCCACTGGACTTCCTTAGCAGACGCAATCCGTAGCAGACCTCTTTTGCTGGCACAAATGTATGAGTTAGTCCCTTTGGAGTGGGATGGTTCTTCAGATACTCTTGACTCATGCAATATAGGGCTTTAAAAGTAATTGAAACATACCTTGAACTGGGCCCAGAAGCAAACTGGTAACCAATGCAGCTTGTGCAATAGCAGTGTAATATGTACCATTCTAGGGGCCTACAGAATTGTGCATGCTGCTGCATTCTGCACTTGCTATAGCTTCCGAATACTTTTCAAGGGTAGCCCCATGTAGACCGTGTTGCAGTAATCCAACTAAGAGATGATTAGGGCATGAATGACTATGTGTAGTCAATTATGATCCAAGTAAGAGCTCAACTGGCGCACAACACAAAGTTGCACAAAGGCCCCTCTAGTCATGATTGCCACCTGCTCTTCAAGCAGGAGTCATGAGAACCTCCAGTTTGCATATTGTGCAACCATGCCATCCAGAACTAAAAATGATAAACAACTGGATCCTGAGGTCCCTTGCACCCACAACCACTCTCTTTTGCCAAGGTTCATTTGAAGCTTGTTGTCCCCCATCCAGACCCCTACAGCTTCCAGGCACTAAGAAATGATAGAAAATAGAAAAATAAAATAAAATTTGCCTTTGCGTTGGACATTTACGTACTTCCTAGTATGCTTCCAGTCTCCCAACTCCAGTTCTAAAGTTCCATCAGGATGACGAGTATGAAGGACAGGCATCAGGCCACCCAATGTATGGAAATGCCCACACAAATAAACTAAGGCAAAACTAATCAAAGCAAAATATAGCATTAATGTATAGCATACAATATCACTACTCTGAACTTTTGCCATTATAAAGTCTAAGAAAAGAAACCATGAGCTTAGAACAACTATCATTTAAAAAAACAAACTATGTCTAACTATTAAAAATACTGGGATTACTGAATTAAAAGAGGGGAATTAGAAGCTAGAGATGAATCCAAAATTCATACTATACTATCTAAACAGCTGAAAATAAAAAAAATAGTGCCAAGAAATGCTGCAAAACTGAGAACAGACAAATACCCTCAGTATAGAACTGAACTACATCAAGCTTGTCTGACTTCATCTGGCAGTCAGCACTGGGCATTTTTTGCACATTATTGCTCAGAACTTGATGATATTATAAATTATGAAGGAGATGATGTCAAAGGAGAGTACAGGGATGACAAATTGGTCTGTACTGCCTTGTAAGCCGGTGAATAAGTCTCTGTAAAATGAGCAGGAGAAGAGACTGTGGTTCTGATTTCTCCATTACAGGAGCATACATGTCCTGGGAAAGGGGATCTTCTTAATACCTTTTGTTTACCTAGGAAAGGGCATTGCAACATGAAGAACTATTATTTTTAGAAATATTAACTTCTGGCCAATTAACACTGTAATTTTAACAATAATTATTTCTTATTATTCATTAATACAAAATGAACAATTTATTTTAAAAAGCAGAAGATAAATAATTCATATATTTAAAAAAAAAATTTTTTTAAAATAGTATACCGCATGGCTGCTCGTATTCCTGGAGATACAGAGATGATTGATGAGGTAGGGAAATGACCAAACAAAATGGTATGGTTACTATCATGACTTTCTGAGATCAGTTCAGACAACTCTGCCATTTTATTCTGAAATGAAAAGGTGCAAAAGTTTTAATAATACATTGACTGCCAATAGTCAACACATACATGCAATTTTTAAACACAATATTAGTACTGGAAGCCATGAACATCTTTAAAGTCCTAGTTACAAATAAAGTTTAATATTTGTAAGTCACCCAGAATCGCCTCTAGATGAAGTGGGCAGCACACAAATCTAATAAAATTAATAAAATTAATAAAATTAATTTTAATGATGATGATGATGATGATGATGATGATGGTGATGATGATGATGGAAGAGACCTTGGAGGTCATCAAGTCCAACGCCCTGCTGAGGCAGGAAACCCTACACCATTTCGGACAAATGGCTGTCCAGTCTCTTCTTAAAAACTTCCAGTGTTGGAGCATTCACCGTTTCTGGAGGCAGGTTGTAAAGAAGAAACATCTCCAAATGGCTCCCATTTAACAGTTAAAAAAAAAACAGATTTTATTTTTATATCCACAGGACCCAAGGACAGTGCAACCATCATAAATATGTACCAGTTGCCAAACATCTGTATTTTGATCATGTGACCAGGGGGATACTGCAACAGTGTTGCGAAAAATGGTCATAAGTCACTTTTTTCAGTGCCACTGCAACTTTGAACAATCACTAAATGAACTGTGGTAAATTGAGAACTACCTGTAAAGGCAAGGTGTTCATACAACCGTGCTGTTTCACAGAAGCTATATGTGTATGTTAGAATATAGACATAGCTTTGGACTGGGTCTGATCTTTCTAATGCTGCCAAAGAATCTTCTATATCACAACATGATCATGAGACAACAGTAGAATATTTAAGAAAAACAATCTCAACAGATTGTCTTAACACTCTTTTTATGATTATCACTGACAGATTCCCTTAAGGAAATACTTAGTAGAATCTTGAGTTTGACTAATAATTTAGGATAATTAGATGGCCTTCCTATAGAACCTATCTATCCCTGAAGATTGCTCTGTGACCCAAAGTAGGGATAGAGGGCAATTTTTTCCCCTTTGCAGCTAAGGAATGCAATGGAGGTCTATGTGCAAAGAAACCATAATAAGGAATGGGTGTTTTGCTAGAGACATATATTATTTCAAAACTACTTAAATCTCCATTGATCCTTTGTCCCATAGGAAACTAAATCTCATGAAAAGATTTGGTCACTCCAAATGAAACTCACGCCACAGGAAGCTAAATTCACTATCTCTTTGAAAATGCTCACTCTTCAGAGATGTGAGGCATACCAACCTCATTGATAAAATATTGCATATCTCAAAGACTGAAAGTAGGAATACTGACAAAAATATGTGAATACAGGTAGTCCTTGACTTACGACCACAATTGAGCCCAAAATTTCTGTTGCTAAGTGAGACAGTTGTCAAGTGAGTTTTGCCCCATTTTATGACCTTGCCAATTATTAATTGAATCACTGCAGTTGTTCAGTTAGTATCATAGTTGTTTGTTAAGTGAATCTGGCTTTCCCATTCATTTTGCTTGGTCGCGATAGATGATCACATGACCCTGGGACACTGCAATGTGATAAATATGAACCAGTTGCCAAGCATCTGAATTTTGATCACGTGACCATGGGAGTGCTATAACGATCGGGTGAAAAACTGTCATAAGTCCATTTTTTCACTGTTATTACTTCAAACATCACTAAACGAATTATTGTAAGCAGAGGACTACCTGTACTTGGAACACTTCATTCAGACGTTATGGTTAACATATGTAAGACACACAACTGGCCTCAATTTTTTCTGATCTTTTGATTTGATAAAACATTGTTTTTTCTAACATTACCGCATTTAATAACCCAAAGAAATTGTAGGGTATCTTGGGACCTGGATCAAGACTTGCATCCACACAGGTGAAAGAATATTTTCCAAAAGGTGTTCTATGAACGTAATGAAAGGAGCCATCTTTCTGCCACACAGAATATTTCCTGCCAAAGAAAAGGACTTTAAGAAAAATCTAATCAGAAGGAGAAATATGTTACATGAGAAGCTTGTAAGGATAACAGATATGTTAACAGAGATGCATTTGGGCTCAGTTCACCACCATTCTTAGTTAGCCAAATAATAATAGTAATAATAGTAATAATAGTAGTAATAGTAATAGTAGTGGTAGTAATAATAACAACAACAACAACAACAACTTTCGAATACAGACAGATCACCATTTGGAACATAATACGCTGGATATCACAGTTGGAGAACCGAAGTGTATAGCTGATTGATGTCGCTGTACCAGGAGATGCCAGAGTCGAAGAAAAAGAACTGGAAAAAATTTCAAAATATCGCGACCTGGCCATCGAAACTGCGCGATTATGGATGAAACGTGTAACAGTGGTATCCATTGTCATCGGGGCACTGGGAACTACGTCCAAAAACTTTGTAAAATACATCAAGAAACTGCAGCTTTCTGCAATAACTCCAGCAATGTTACAAAAAACTGCGCTACTCGGAACATCTTATATTTTAAGGAGATACCTGGTTGACACCTCGGATGCTGATAGCAACCTGTGTCAACCATCAGTGCCAGCCAATTTGAATGTTCAATTGACTGAGGTTCATGTTTAATGAATAAAAGATAATATAATAATAATAATAATAATATGACTTAAATTTCAAAACTTGAATTTCCTCGCTCCTTCCTTCAGAAAGTTAAGGGAAAAAATGCAGCTACCAAATAGTACAGAAAGGAGAAAAGAATCTTGGTTACCTATAATTGGAGAGCCAGATTAGTATATGGTTAAGGCATCAGGCTAGAAACTAGAACACTTGTATTCTAGTCCTGTCCTGGACACAAAGCCAGCTGGGTGATATTGGGCTAATCACTCTCAGCCCTTAGGAAGCACACAATGGCAAACCACTTGTCCAGGGACTTGTCCAGGCAGTCTTTCATAATTGGACACAATTATGAATATAACACAATTGAATATAACTGATCTTAAAATACTTAATTGATAAAATGTGTATAGAGTCAACTTTTCGGTACATGTATCTTGTTTAAATAGAAATTTCTGTTCACTGTATATTTTTCTGGACTGCTGAAACCATCATTACATGCTAACATACCTGTAGTAATTACGAACACTCTCCAGGCTAGGAATGTTGAATGTATCTGCAATGAAAATGGTAAACATTTCGATCCAATTTCATGATAAAGCTAGGAATAAAAAAGTAGTCTAAGTTTAAAAAAACATCATTGCAATTATGAACTTAAAAGAGAAGCAGGATGGCTAGGGAGGAAAACAAGATTTTTTGCATAAACCAAACGCTAAGAGGCTTTTTGGCGAAGCTAAAATTATATTATTTAAGGAAATTTACAACAGAATGGTCAAAATAAAATTACAAGAAAAGCTAAATATATAAACAATATTCTCTTACTTTAAATATATATTTATACTTTTCATAATGATTCCAGACACTTTTAAAATGTTATGGTATATAAATGATTTAAATAATTTATGTAATATCAAAAAATTAAACAAGGTTAAATGAGGGGTTATGACAGTCTAGCATTTCCTAATGATCAACATAAAATTAGAATTACGTGCCTAAAGTCTTCTCTCTGTCTTACCATGATTTCCTTTTATATCTATCCATTTTGTCTTTTCCATGACCTTAGATCTTTTTAGAATTGTCTGGTAAGTTTGCCACTCCACCTCAACCTGATTAGACCCAAATCCATCCTTTGTTTTGGCATCAGTCAAGTCACCTGTTTAATGAATAGAGAATAGCTCCAGAACCC